TCTCGTGTATGTGACCTGCGCCTTAGCCACTTGAGCTACAGGTGCCAAGACTAAATCATTTTATCTTTATACTCTTTATTTCACTCTTCTTTCTATTCTCATCCTTGGGTAAGGAAAGTGGGACTCGGAAGAAAAATGACGTATCCCCTGTGTAACCCAAACAGTGAGGGGGTCAATCATTAACCAAGCTAAAGCCTGGTTCCACAGCCCATGTTCCTAACCACAGTGTTATACGGAGTCACAGTGACTGCTGCCTGACTGAACGCCTCCTAAGAGATGCCAGATGCCCGCCTGGTAAGAAAGCCAGGGAACCAATGCTGATAGCACAGAGTGGGCCCTCAACTCCTAATGCTAAATGCCTCCTCCACTCTCTCCTTTTTCCAGTCCACTCTTTCTCTCCCTCCACCACAGTCTATCTTTCTCTCTTTCCTTCTCATACACGGTCAGCTCAGGTTCTTAACTGCTTGACATGCTTTCATCTCTCTGAGAAAGAGGATAAAGCCTTGTCTCTCCAGATACTTACAAGTTAGAGGAGAATGTTGATCCATCCTCCCAGAGCCATGGTCTCTCAGGCTGAGTGCGAGAAAGCCCTATCCAGAATGAATTATTAGGTTGGGAAGACACTTGTTTAATTATAAATTCCTGTAGTGAAACAGAAAGACAAACATACATCAGAGAGAGAGAGAGAAAGAGAAAGAAAGATTTATAAATGTCTAATATGATTACTGCTATCTTTCTTGTTAATTATGATGAAGTTTCTAATTAAATATTGAAACACAAACTCACAAAAATGAATGGTGCCCTGATTATTATAGTCACGCAAACATGGAGTATGTTTTAAAAGATTTGGCTCGGCACCTGTGGCTCAAGTGGCTAAGGCACCAGCCACATACCCCTAAGGTGGTGGGTTCGAATCCAGCCTGGGCCCGCCAAAACAACAATGACAGCTGCAACCAAAAAATATCTGGGCATTATGGCAGGTGCCTGTAGTCTCAGCTAATTGGGAGGCTGAGGCAGGAGACT